CCCACTTCTCGTTGTGACAATGTTTACTTGTGCGCCTCGTGGGTTGTTCTCGGTTTTGCTAGGAAGCTCACCCGGTGACCTTTGGTTTAGTTGTTGAGCAAGTTGCCCAAGCTGCGTTTCTATGTTGTGGATGGATGCTTGCTGGTTCCTGAGCATGGTTCTTGTTTCTTGGATAGCAGCATCATGGTCACTATGTCTTTTCTCGGAAGCAGCCACAAATTTAGTAAGCATATCTTCCAAGCTTGGCTTCCTCTCTTGCACCGGCTCCTCCTTTTGATAAAAGCCTCTCCCTTTTTGTCTATACTTCTCCTCCTTGGCCTTCTTGTACTCTTCGTAAGGCAGCCACTCTTTCTTTTGTTTGCGCCAGTCCTCATCATACCGGTCACCGCTCGAATAACATGCTTGTGCCTTCTTGTTGCCATTCTCATCCAAATCGCAATCTCTAGTGAGGTGAGGTCCATTGCAGTTTTCACAACCCACCCGAATAGCATGGATAGTTTGATCCATTTTGTCCATTCTCCTATCCATGGTTTTTAACATGGCCATGACCGCGGATAAATCTTCAGTAGCAGCATACGCGGCTCCCCTCGTGACATCATTCCTAGGGTTGTGGTATTCTCTAGAGTGTTTAGAGAATTCTTCAATCAATTCTTTAATCACCGGGGGTGGCTTCTTTGTAAGTGGGCCTTGCGAGTCTAGCAACTGCCGGGTTGTGACATTGACTCCATCATAGAAGATGGAAACTTCTTGCTGGCTGTTTAGATCATGGTGTGGGCAGTTTCTTAGCAGACCTTTGTACCTCTCCCATGCTTCATATAAAGACTCTCCAGCTTGTTGTTCAAAGTTTGCAATGGCCTTCTTCAGTTTGGCTATCTTGGATGGTGGGCAAAAGTGATCAATAAATTCTTCCTTCATTCTGGCCCAAGTAGTGACTGATCCGGGGGGAAGTGACTTGAGCCAGTCTTTAGCAGCACCCTTGAAGGTTACCGGAAGCATACGAAGTAGTTGAGTTTCGCGGGTTACATTTGGAATATTGAAGTAATCAGCAACATCATTACTTCATCCAAATGTTTGTAGGCATCTTCATGATCTTTCCCATAGAAAGGTATTTCCTTGAGTGAAGCTAGGATATGACCTTTTAGCTCGAAGGTAGCAGTCGCGGGAATTGCGGGTTGCACAAGTCCCGGGCCATGGTCGTCGCGCATCCTCTTCTTCCATTCTCCCATGGGGATTTCATCAATGTTAGCCATAGTGAACGCTAACTCTTCCTCCGACTCGGTTTCTTGCTCGTACGTTGCCTCCTCTTCTTCCTCGGTCTCGTATCCAATATCTTCTTGAATTGGCTCCTCAATTATCAAAGAAGCGCTAGAAGCTCCTGATTTACTGCTCTTCTTTTTCCCAAAAACAGTCTTCAAGTTGGACAATGGTGATTTCTTTGGTGTGCTTGAACTCTCCACGTCCTTCCCTTTGTTTCTTTTCAATGCGGATTCGGGGTCTTCAAACGGGGGTACCAGTGGTGTGTTTGCTCCTCTGGTCATGAAAGTCCTGAAATCAATAAATAAAAAGCGTAAAAAGAACAAAAAGATTGTAAAAATAAAGAAAATCTACTGCTGACTAAACTGCTACTCGCCGAGTAGGTGCGATTGCACTCGGCGAGTATCAGTGGTATTTCAAAAAAAATTCTAAGTTTTAAACTAACTAAAACAGATACTAAAACCTAATTACTAATTACTAAATTGCAATAAATGAACTTTATGCAAGTAAACTCACACAAAGGATCGAAAAAATTAGGAATTAGCTTAATTATTTAGAACCGTTCCCCGGCAACGGCGCCAAAAACTTGATGTGTGTAAAACCAACTAGTTTTATCCCTACTTTTTATTAATAAATTGAGCACACAAAGGCAGTGAACCTGTCTTTAAGTGGTATAGATTGATAAGTAAGGTATCGAACTCAGGGAACGGAAAATTAAACTAATAACTAATTTTAACTAAAACAAATAATAAAAGTAAAGGGTTTTTCTCTAGTTTTGCAAGACTAGAAACTTAGACAAACTAAATTAACTAATTAACTAAAGCAACAACTATTCACCAAATTTGATAAAGATGTTTCCATTTAGGTTCAACCAATTCACTCCTATGGTTATTTAAGTTTAAGGTAGATTAATTGCTATTGGTTACCAATTATAATAGTTAGGTTCATATTCATTACTCCTAACCCTTAGACAATTAACTAATTTAAGCGTTGATCAAGTGTTTAAACTAATTAATTCCCTAGATTAATTATTTGGATTAAATAAGATTTGTAATGGTCAATTAAGTTATTAATTCAATTAACCTCTTGTTGATGGTTTCTCAAACAAGCTCACACATTAATCTTCCTATTTTCTTATTAATCTTAGTTTCATAATCATTACTTCTAAGCATATGGTTTAGCATTCACATAGACATATGAGGTTAACAATTAAGTGATGTTCATGCAACCTAATTGCCTTCCAATTAACAGAAAATAGTAGTGATTAATACATAAGGTTCTTTAACAAACTTAATTTAATAAATCACCAATAGACAATTAAGCAATAATCAATAATCAAACCATAGGAGTTCTTTGGTATTCCCCAAACAGAAACAAAAACGAATTTAGCTCATAATTGCAGTAGAAACAAACATAAAAACAAAGTTTACTAAAGCAAACATATTCAATTCCTAAGTCTAAGTGGTAGAATTAACCTAATTGCTTGAATTCTTCCAAATATTGAAGCCTAGGTTTCCTTAGCGTCTTCTGAATCTCTTAGTCACAACTAAACCTTCAAAAATCGCCAGGAGTATCTCCCATGAGATAAGGATTCGTGTTTTATAGATATCACAAAACAGAGTGTACTCGGCGAGTAGCAGAATCAACTCGCCGAGTAGATCCATAGTTATCCGTCTTGAATCAGCAGTCGTATTTATCTTCTGGAATATCCTCGTGTACTCGCCGAGTAGGGTCAATCTACTCGCCGAGTATATCTCCTTTTTTCACTCTTTGATCTTCAATTGCTTCCCTTTTCTCCTTTTCGCTTCCAAGCATATCTTTTGGACTGAAAACACAATTCACAACATTTTAAGTACCTTTTGTCCACATTATCACATAATTAATCAAAAACAACTAAGAATATATGCTAAATAATTAACTAATTATGCACATATCAGTGTGCTTGGATATCAAAAAATGTAATACCTTTAGTAATAATGAATAAAATAAGTATTTGTGTTATATTTCTATTTTTTGTTCAATATATTTGCCTCCAGATCCAACGTCCCTAACATCGCACAGCTAAACGATTCTGCCGCCAGCCAGGGGTCTGAAATCTGAAATGTATGAATTGGCCCTAGGATATTATATGATGCACACACACCATGTTTCTGGATGTTTTGTGTGGTAGAAATGGTAATCCATTTCTACAAAAGAGTGGTTTAGGATTTATTGCATGTTAGAATTATATTATGATGCTTTGATGTGAGAAGTGGTAAGTAGGATCATATTAGAAAGTGGGATATGTGTTGATTGTGTGGTATGATGATTAGGAAAACTCATGCTGGTGATATAATATTTTTTGACATAATGATGATATGGTGTGCATAATTATATAGTGATGTGTAAATGATGAAATGTAAATAGCCCTTTTGTATGTGAATTAATAATGGGGAAACATACATAAAGGAGCAAGGGTAGCAACCTAAATTTAGGTGTGTACCCTATCCATATTGTAAGATGGCATAATAGGTTAGAAGAGTACCTACAAAATAAGAGATTAAGACAACATTGAAGTCGAGTAGTTTTTCTAGGCAATCATTCGGTACATGGTCCTTGTGGTGGGTGGACTAGAGTGATGTTGGCTATGTAGTGGAGCCAGCACGAACATCATGTTTGAGAGTGAAGTATCTAAGGTCGGAAAGATAACAATAAGTACCACTCTTGAATAACAACGTATGCACTTGTATATACATCGACGAAGTAGCAAGAGAAACACACGAAGAGCGATGTTACGAGTGGGAGTCGTGTCTCACTTTGTACATTAGGTAGAGTCAGTCATGCTAGTAGTGAATAAGGTATTTTCCTTTCGGGTTTCTAATCATATAGAGACCAATGATAATGAAGATAATAAAGATCGATATTTAATAATATTGTAACAATGAAAATGATGAATAATTACACAGATGACTTATCGATGAGCAATTATTAACGAAGAAACAAATGAAGAATGATATTAATTTATTGTTGTGATGATTATATGATGTACCTGATGCTATTCAATGTGTGGAATTTTATTACATGCTATACGATGTTTGATTGATCCGTTTTGGGATATGAATGTTTCAATAACATTGTACTTATCATTAACTCATTTAGCATATGTTAGCACTTGTTATTTGATTGTTGCTTCTGCCTTGCATTGGCTCATGTAGCTTGATTGATTAGCTTGGTGAGGATGGGGTCTTTAGGTACTCATGTATCGTTCATCCTATTCTTTAGTCTACCCATCACATCCTTGCCTCTGTTATCTTCCCACAAAATGAGATAAGCAAGGCTGGGAAAAAATAATTAGAACGTATGTGGTGTATGATCTACTAACTGAATCGACTTCTCTATTTTAGATTATGGATCATTTTCAAATATTTGAAGTTATCCCACAACACTAGTGGTAAATTACTTTGTGGGGGCATGATCATAGTTATCCTCAAACACCCAACTCGTTTCATTCGTTTTCCACCTGATCTCGATGTTTTTGAGTTAGAAACTCACCTAACAACTAACGTCTTATAAAGCATGCATCCGTTCCACGTAAATGATATAACACAAGACATTTATTGGGTTGTTGATAGCAGTGATTACCTCTATATTCATCATCAAAATACCCAGCTTCTTAGTTTGTCCAATCCCATCTACAAAAACTATTTGGCGCCTTAGGTCAATTTAGGTTTCATGATGCCCGATCCTAATTCTAATGAGGATAAGGATTAGCCCATTCCTGATGCTCCCATTACTGATGCTACAATATCAGTGCAGCGAGAGTCTGTCATGCATCCCTATCATGACATGTATATGCAAGAGTTTCAAAGGTTGTATGAAGACAATAGGATTTTGCATTGTGTCTATTCTGAACTTTATGACAATGTTTATGGGATAAATAGTGAGATGGTGGAGTTGAGAGAAGAGTTCTATACCTTTATAGACAGTCAACAAGCATACAACCAGCATGTGGATACCCTTGTGACTGACATGCATTGAGTGCTTTATTTGGGTAGTAAACCCACATGACCACCTTATTACCCTCAATATCCACACTACCCTCCACCATATAATTCTCAGTTTCCACAACAATATCCTCTACAATACCCGCCTCCATTTCAACCTCAAGATCCTCCTCAATAACTAGTCCCGTCTCTTCCCAAGCATCGAGGATGATGCACATTTTTAAGCTTGGGAAGGTGTGAATTTTGCATTCCAATCATTGCATTAATAAAAAAATTGCATAAAAAATATTTCATTGCATATATATATATATATATATATATATATATATATATATATATATATATATATATATATATATATATATATACACACACACAAAAAAAAAAAAATACAAAATTTAAAAACACACAAAAATATTTTCTTTTCATTTAAGCTTTTAGGGTCATTTTCATGCATTTTCCTCTCATTTTCTTATCGTCTCTAGAATGCCTTTAACTTTTTGTCACAACACACGGTCAAGTTCAAAGTTTTGTCTGCTTATACCCCATATACATGTGGTGTCACTAATTTGTGAAACTTTAGAACTATTGAGAACACACTTATTGCTAATTCACTTAGTGGCTGTTTATTGAGGTTTTTATAACAAGTAGCTCCTTCTAAATACTTTGAGTCACAGTAGGTGATAATCAAATATAGGGCGTTTTAAAATACCCATGATTACATTATTGTGTGAATACGTAAGGAATGGTATGGGGTAAAAGTTCATTCAGTTTTCTAGTTCAATTCTTGATTTTATTTTTTTTAGTCCCTTGTATATGTATATATGTTTGTTTTTGCCTTGTTTTGTATTGTTTAGTTTAGAATAGTTGACTTTTGTTTAATTATATATATATATATATATATATATATATATATATATATATATATATATATATATATATATATATGTTCTTGCTTGGTTCATAAATATTGGTTAAATTTTTTTTTAAAAAGTTTACATATATATATATATATATATATATATATATATATATATATATATAGAGAGAGAGAGAGAGAGAGAGAGAGAGATGGTTCAAATGTTTTTAGCAACTATTGTGTGCATGAATGCACCAATAGGAATTTAGGAATAATTAAATAATTAAAAATTGTAATAAGGGTAATTATGTAACTTTAGCAAGCTAATTAAAATAAAATCCCTTAATTCATGGAAATTACCATAAAAATCTGTTTGACAAACTATTTAACCCTAGCCTTCTATATCATACGTAATATGCCTCATCCAATTTTCTTATGGATGAATGAACATCGTCTGATCAAAAGAGGTAGTCAAACCTCTTGTTGCAAATCTGTTTCCCTATTCCATTGATTAAGAAGATGTTATTCTCGGTGGCTCCATCTCCAATCGAAGCTAGCTTCAACATCGAGGCAATTTTAGAGTCACAAGAAGCCGATGTATGTTTCTGCATCATTACTACAGTTCCGTCGATTATCGGTTTTCTAAAGCTTTTTTAGATCGAGCAAACTTCGTATGCCCTTATTTATCCAGTAACAACTCTTCAATTCTCATGAATTATGGTCCGTTAAATTGTGATTCGAATTATCTATTTCTATTGTTCATTGAATTAGATGGTTAAGTAAGGGAAAACCTAACGTGTTCAAGAAGAACGCGCTATGCACATAAGGTGCTCGACTAAATTCCTGAAAGAAGGACCAACTTGCTGTCTCAGTGAACTTTTGGTGGAATTGAAAATATTTCGATTTGCACACCAACTGCTTGTTAAAATGTCTCAGTGAACTTCAGTTACTTATTCCAAAATTTGTTCTTTCTTGCTTAATGAGTCACTTTCAGTTAGAAGGAAGCATAGAAAAAGATGTTAGTTCGTATGGTTCCAGCTCTTGTATCAGGGCCTTATATTGTAAGTAACATTCTTTATTCATGTGTTCAAGTTGATGAGTTTCAATTTGTTTTATGTGGATGCTCTTCTTTCTTACAAAATAATGTTTTCAAATCTTATATGAAACCCACGTTTCTATGCTTTAATGGGTCTGCCATATATTTTTTTTCTTTCGGTTATGGAATACAATTCTAGGTTGTTTATGCCTTTTTATTTTTCATCAACACAAATTAATTTACTCTTTGAACCTTGTGGTATGAATTCTAAATCATGTTGCAAGTAAATCAAATATGGTTTTTGGTTTGTTTGATGATAATGTCTAACAAGTGTTTGTTGAAATACCTGAAAGAGAATTTAAAGAATTTAACCTTGTGGTATGCATTCTGTCAGAATTACTATCAGTAAATACAATACATTTGAATGTATTCTATATATTCTATCATAATGTATTCTACCAGAATAAAATCGATGTATTTTGCCAAAATGTATTATATGTATTCTGTCATATTTTATGTATTCTACCATAATATATTAAGTGATAGTTAATTGCAAGTAACACGTTTTTAACAATTATTAGTTTTTGTTGTATTTGTGAAAGGAATGGCTGGAAGAAGGCGTTGAAGACCATGATATTCTTGTAGAATATGTATAATTATATTAAAATGTATAAAGATTTTAGTCTTTAAGAATATGTATGAATTTGTATTTAAGTTCGGATGTATAAGAATATATTAGAATGTTTGTTATTTTTCAACATCTGATACAAAATTTTTCTTATTCTTCAATAATATTCTATTAGAATAAAATTCTAAAAGAGCATCATTTAACAAAATATTCTGACAGAATAAAATCGGTAAAAAATTGAATTGAATTACTTAAAAAATTCAGATTTTTATAAATTAGAAGATTTAATCGTCCCTAAAAATCCTAAATGTAACATCATAGTTTTCAAAACCAATTTTTTTTTTTCATTTTTACAATCATCAAAACATCGAGTAATAAATTTAGGTTCCAATGTAACAATTTAGTCACGACCGATTACATAACAAAGATCACAAAATGGTTTCCCCGAGTGTGTGTACGATCACGTCGGCGCCTTCCCACGGTCCTCGCTAGTACCTGAAACACATAACACAACAACTGTAAGCATAAATGCTTAGTGAGTTCCCCAAAATACAACCTACGCACATACGCCTTTCCAGGCCCGGACCTTCCGGTCCATGTGTCTCAGGGGACTTCCGTCCCGCCTGGGTAAACCTTCCGGTCCTATCCACGTCAACCTTACGGTCCATATTACCACGCCTTCCGGCCCATAACATATTGCCTTCCGGCCCATATCAAGCATATCATACATAGCACATATAACGAATAACTTATCACACATAACACATATATCTCATAGCATATCCGACCTTCCGGTCACACAGTCAAACCCTTCCGGGTACAGTATAGTGAGAAAACTCACCTCGTATGTCTCGGTAACTCGTGAACCCTGGAAATCACTCGTGCTCGAACCCCCGAGCTGTAATCCTCCTATGACATCATGAATCTATAATTATTACTTGTACCACTAAGGTTGACCATCCTTATCAAGCCAACACTGGTTGACTTGGTCAACAGTCTTTGGTCAAATTGATCGGACTCGACGAGTGCACTATAGTGACTCGGCGAGTCTACGTGTTTTCTCCAACTCGCAAGGATTTTCCCCTTGACTCGTCGAGTACTCCCCTGACTCGACGAGTTCCACCTGGGCATAAATCACGGGGCCACCGCGACTCAACTCGCCGAGTCACAAGGACAACTCAGCGAGTCCCAACTCGACTCGGTCCACTTGTCAAAACCTTTCTAACTCTCCGTGACTCACTGAGTCACCCACAACTCGGCAGGACTACACACTGGGTGGTCACAAGGACAATCTTCAAGCGACTCGTTGAGTATGTTCTTCAGACTCGGCGAGTCCATGCCATGCATCAGCTAAAGCTGGCTTTTGCGGTCAGATCCGTTCCATACACACATAGATCTGGCCTTCCCAAGCTCGTTTGTCACGTAAAGTCTCAGTCTTGGTCGCCATGCAACACATACAAGGCTCATTTTGGAGAAATGACCTCTAATATGGCAACCCTAGCTTCCAACTCAAAAGAATGGACATAAAGCTTGTCATTTGGGGCCTTCTGGACCTGCTAAGGTCCAGATCTAGGTTCCATACCTCCATGGGACCTTTCATACTTCCAATTCAAGCCAAATAAGGCAAGAAGAAACCCTAGATTTGACACATCAACCAAAATACGAAGTTTAGCTCTGAAAGTTACCTCAAGAAGGTTCCCTTGATGAAATAGAAGCAGATCCAAGCTCCCCAACTCTTCAAGCTTGATCTTCTCCTTCCTTCTTGCAAAAATCACACAAAATGATGAACAAATAGCCTCTATCTCACTCACAAAGTCTCTCAGCCGTTTGGGTGCACTCAGGGCTCAAAGTGGCCGCATATGAAGGCCATCCCTTGGACTCGCCGAGTCCGGACGCGAACCTCCGTCCAAAACCGCGACCCGACTCGGCGAGTTCGACCTCCAACTTGCCGAGTCCCCTCACAGAATACCAAAAAAATATGAAAGTAAAGATACCTGGGGATCCGGGCTGTTACACTAAAATTTCCTTTTATAAATGTAGTTAATTATCCAAAATACCCATTTGCTTAAAATTGTGTGATTATATGCTACATGTTACCCCATTGTAATATCATACACTCTCAAATGATATCCATTGATTAATTTCATCAATTCGTCCAGATCTGTACATTCAGGCACACAATACTTAGTAAAAACAAAATAACCTAAGCATATATATATATATATATATATATATATATATATATATATATATATATATATATATATGTATTAAGTATTATTCATAGAAATATAAGATTAATATTTGTATCTGTGTTTGTATTAATGTTTTAGTTTGAACATATTTCCATTAATGTTTTTAATTTTCATTTGCATCTAGAATATATTCATGTTTAATTATCTATTTTATTTAAGGAATCTGACCCATGAACCCATGAACCTAAATATGATCCACAAACCCCTAACCTGTGAACCCATATAAATAAGTGGGTTGACGGGTCGTATATGAGTTTAAGTTCCAAACTTGTCAACCCGTGACATGTTTAGTTAAATGAGTCGTGTTTCAGGTTGTTATAGCCAGATATAGTACATAACACACCTATGCCCTTGTATCACACTTACATTCCAAGACTGTATTTATTTATTTATTTATTATTATTTTTTTTTGGATTTTACTGTTGTTGGAATTGTGAGAT